AAACACTTGATTTKATTTGTACGTGGCTATAGAGACCAAAATAAAACTATGCGTAGATGAGTAATTTACAACGTTTGAACTTCATTATCTTAACAAATGTTAACAATCGTAATTAAAACGATTAATTTAATACATTTATATAAACAAATTGAATGCGTTAGTGACATATTAACAAGAACTAAAGAACTTTGACTAACATTAAAATATTTAAAACGTAGGGCACGGTGATGACMTATAGGATGAGTYTGTTGTATAAACACTAATTATCTCAATTAACATCGATGAAAAGTGGTGGATATAATCTATTTTTAYCGAGAAGTTAAAAAAATAGCTTCATTGGTCACATAATATACAGTTAGGTTTTTGAGTGTTTGGTTTTTTGTAAGTATGTATATATTATCATTATGAGAGGCATTCTTAACGAAAGGTTCAGCACACGTTRAACATATACTATTATGTTATAATAATACTGAGGGATTCTTTTAACAATAAACGTTCATTATCTTTAAAAGTTAAAACATTTCTCAAAAGTTCATTTTTTACATAATTTRAAGTTATTTCAAAACAATTTAAAAAGAGAGAGATTATTATATTTTGTTCTATTATTCATCGTTAATATTTTAAAGTTTTTACTTTTTGGATAACAGTATATAACTTATCTAAACAATTTATTATTCTTATGTAGAATATTTTTYTAGAAATGTCGATGTATAAAAATTAGACACATATTAAATGATTGAATCTCATCAGAAATCACCATCAACGTTTAAGTTTATACCTCACCGATTCTTATAGCAAATTGTCGTCTCTTTTTTCAAAACAATTTTTTTGTTATTCGTCTAGTGAGTTCTTGATTAACTTAATAATATATACTACTTATGTACGCTTTAAATGACTTACCCATGGCAGATGGAATGCTAACGGGCGCGGCGGGTCTCTCGGTCGTCTCGCGCAACGACGCGCTGTCTGGCGTGTCCTCATCGTCTTGGTCTTCGTCCTCTTCTAACAGGACGGGTGGCTGATTGATCAATTCGTAACCCCATCGTTGACGAAACTTTTTCGACCCACCATCCAGCCGGACCCGAGGAAGGTCCACGAACAGAGAATCGCCAATCTGTATAGACAAAAAAAAAGTTTTATCATTTTATATATTTTAGTATTTATTTATTTATATATTCGTATTAAAATGTAATTATAATATTATATTGTATTATACATTTCATATCATTATTTCATATTTTATATGATAGTAATAGCAAGGCATAGCTTAGGTATCATTATAGTGAAAAAGCTGAGGGTGCTGGCCGCTTAGACCACCTCGTCCTTTCTATTGGCTATTAGTTTTTCTCGTGGTTTTTATTTTAAAATCCTCCCAATATTTCTGTTATAATATAAATATTTAAATGTCATAAATTCTTATTTTTCAAATATATGTATACATCTGCGACACGACATGCTCCGTCAGAAGATATCACACGTACTAAAACCAAGCAAAACCAAGCTCTGACAATATTCAGTAGATTAAAATTTGAGGTTTCCCTGTATCGTGTCGTATACTCGGGTATAAATTGAATACATTCAGCTTGTTACTGTAACGATTTACCAAAATGCTTTTATCTTTAGCCTATATTAAATATACGGAACATGACATCATGGCACAGTGTAATCAGAAAAAACCTGGTTTAAAAAGAACACTTTTCGCTTATCGCCACAGTTATTTCTTGTTTTTCACCGTTAGACTCCAACTTACTGTTATATATTCAACACCACAAAACATAACATTCATGAAAAATGAAGAMATCATGATTCATTAACGTATATTTGGTAATGAAATTTTCCKTTTGCAATCATGATTCATGTATTCATGGAACCTCATTCCTCAATCTCTTTGCTTTTGAAATAGCGATRCCATACATATTATATTCATACGAATACCAAACAAAAGCTTTTGAATGAGCTGTTGCACTGCAAAATGTACAATCTACCATTACTACATATTTACATTGCAGTGAATAAACGTCGTCATGATGAAACCACTATAATATATTGATGTATACCTATAAATAACTAGTAACGTACATTTGATATTAATACATATATTATATACAAATAAAATTGTTCCGGTATGTGAGTTGTCGTGTAGTTTTCAATTTTCCAATACATTTATATTTTATAGTATATAGTACCTATAATAGATTAATAAAAATCACTCTTGCGGGAAAATAATATTCTGCACATATTATTAGTAAGTAATAATAACCATATAGATACTTTACATTTTAACTAAATGTTTATAAAGGCATTTTTATGCGTCGTGGTCAATTGTCGACTTATAATAAGCTATTTGCTTTCTATAAATGTAGATAAAAAATTTAGGTCATGTTGAAAAGTTTGAAAATATTATAACACACACGTATCAGCATGTTTTTTTTTCAATTTGAAAACATTCAAAATTCATATGAATTAATTTAATTTTTATTGTTACAGCTTATATATTATTAGTAGTTCTTACAGAAACCAAAAGAATTAAGAAATAGAAATGCACAATTTTTTTCATATGAAAACAAATTTTGAAGGAATTACCTATACACATTTAAACTAAAAATACGGTTTTAGTTATTTTTGTCGTAATTTAAAAGACAAGACAAGTGTTCATGGAGACTATMATTTTTAGGTATGTAGGTACGTATATAAATATATTATACTCAACAGAATATTTCAAAATATTTAGATGCTAGTTTATAAATCCAAAGAACCTAATCMTAATAAAAATTAAATACTTAAATATCAATGAAATATACTTATAGTAATATAGGCTGACCAGTCAGAATCGTTATTTGTATCTAATGATTTGTCGTTTTATTCAAATTCAACACATCCATTACAGTTATCGAATAATTAGATATACTCGAAACTTACTGCATACAGCACAGCGGTTATCTATTAGCAACTATATATACTTTTTATGTTTTAAATTCTAAAAAAACGAGTATATATATATATTATATATTATTGTCATAATCATACAAATAGCAAGTACAATCCTTATGACTCATGAGCTAACAGTCATCACAACACTGTAGTCTGTAGATTGTTAAAGTACCTACTCAGTATTATCATAATATATTCATCTGTGGTGTGGTTTACTTATATTTTCTGATTGTTGACAATAATTATTCCTTCACACGTGGTAACAATTAACTTCAAATGTCATTTTAAATTAAAAAATAATGCAGTTTTGTATTATAGAAATCAAGAAATATCTGCAAATTGGAACTGCTTTGYTGTACACGAGGTACCGTATTCGTCACATGTAATGGATAACCTAACCTATCGACTCTGATCGAAGATCGTAAGATCGTCAGACATCTAAATTGCTAACTATATTTTATGATATTATTGCTATTAAAATTATTTATTTTACTATATCAATAATACAGTAGATTAGCAAGTTTAATTAATTAATGCCAAAAGTATTGGAATTTAAATTGTCATTGTGTGTATAAACTATACATTATTACTATTTTAAAATCACAAAAAAAAAATAATATCCAATTAAGTCTAATACTAAATTAGAATAAAATATATTTGAAATGTAAATTTCCGAAAAACTTTTTTTTAAATATAATAAATAAATAATGAAGTTAGRGAAATGTAGAGAAATCTTGTATTAATTTTTCAGATTTTATATATTCTACTTTTAGATATTCATAAATAATTGTTATACATTTTTTTAGTAATAGGTAACGCTAGTATAAATACTTATTAGGAACCTTAAATTCATTTTTATAAATTTTTTAAATATCGAAGTTTTCTTATTCCAAAAAATAACTCCACAAGAGTGAAAATAAAAATGTTATGGCATATAGAAAATATATTATAAACATTCGGTGAAAATTTCAAGTATATCTACAATTATTTGTTTTTGAATTGCACCAAAAACCCAAATCAATTTTGTCAAAAACAAATTTAGCGAAAGAATGTCATAATTTGTTGTAATAACAACATTTTTGACAAAATTCATCAGATTTTCGAAAATTTGAATATTATTCTACAGTTAAAAATTAAAAACTCAAATTTTTATWAGTAAGTATTGAAACCTTGTTTTTAATTTTCAATTCTAAGTAATCCTAAGTAGTTCATTCAGTAACCAAAAAATCTAAAAAATATAACGAAGAATAACGATGTTAGTAATATTATTCTTTGGTACATGAAACATTTAATTTACCTATATCATGTATAATGCAGTATTTTCATTATACATAATGATATTTGAAAGCTATTCAATTTACTATACTACAAATATTAAAACTAATTRCTCTAATAACAATAATATCTTAAAATAAATTAAGTAACATAAGATGAGAGACCGATTTCTTYAAGAATCGTTATTAATTTAAAATAGTTAATTTCAAATTGAATACTTTCATTACACTRCATACTATTGTACATATATACATAACATTTAATGTACATCGGAGTGGTTTCCACTTGGCCCACTTGGGTCACTTTTTCTTGATTTATTACATAAATATAGATAATTTTATCAAATGTATAACTAATTATTCAAAATATCATATTATTTTATCTTATCATGCTATGATAACTATTTTTGATATTTTAAATAACAATATGAAAATTTGTAGATTTGCATAGATTGTGCATTTTAGAAAGTACCTATATGCTATATCGAATCTTAAGTAGTAGTAAATAGAAAAATACAATAATTATAATAATAAGTAATAACGTTAACATTAGTTTTGTTAATAATCGTTTTAAATTACACTATTCTCAGTAGTTAATACATTTATTCTTTTAAAATATTTAAGTATGCATGTATGAGTTGTTTTTTTAGCCCAATAAGGTAAATAATGAAAATATATTCAATATATATATATATATATATATATACTAATTGAAAAGTTGCTGGGTCGCTAGTTGCTATAAACCTAAATAAAATATTTATACAGTTTTTTTTTGTTGTATAAAAAATACAATAATAGTGTAAATAATAAAATATAATAGTGTTTTATCTTAAACAAATGTAGATACACAAGAATATGTTAACAATATATTATTTAGTGAAATCAAATATTCTTTTTAATTTTGGAGATTATTTATCGTATTCTTCGAACGTATCAATTCCATTGACTAACTGTGGCTGGAATTTTTGGTTCGTATCTTCGTCACTTAATAAATTAGATTGATATTTTGCTGGGAAATTTTCTACGGACGTAAACAACTGAGGTGTAATGAATTTCTCGTATTCCTTGAATAGTTCTTTGGTTTTGATATTTTCATCAGAATTTAAGTACCAATTTTTACCAAGCTCGTCATTTAGTTTAAAAGCTGTTGTCGTTTCCTGAGAAGTCGTAGACTTTGATTCGTCGTCCTTATCCTGGGTTTCTTCTGTTGTATTCGATTCGTCTTCTGTTGCAATAGAATTGGATTCGGCCTCTGTTGTAATAGAATCAAACACTTGAGAGTTCAATTCATTTTCAGTCRGGGTTTCTTCTGTAGTTAAGGAATTAGATTCATCTTCAGTTAGATTTTCTTCTATTGTTATAAAATTAAATATGTTTTTAATCGGGTTTTCTTCATACATCAGAATGTTTGAATTGTCTTCAGTCTGAGTTTCTTCTGTAGTTATAGAATTTGATTCGTCTCCAGTCTGAGTTTCTTCTGTAGTTATAGAATTTGATTCGTCTTCAGTCAGGTTTTCTTCGATAACTAGTATGTTCGATTGGTTCTCAGTCTGGGTCTCTTCTGTAGTTAAGGAATCCGATTCATCTTCAGTCGGGGTTTCTTGTGTAATTTCATAAATTGATTCATTTTTGGCCGAATCTTTCGCCTCATTTAGGTTTCCACTCAATAGTTTTAAAAGTAAAGAATAATCTGTTGACATGGGGATTGGATCTTGTTGTATYGTTTCAGGCAATAGTTGTACAATCCTTACAGTGGGAGATGATACTTTTAAAGTATCTGGATCTGTTTCTACTGATTGAGCATCTCCGTAGATGGTATTTGGAATATTTGAACCAAGGTTCCAATCAGAATCCGACGAGTACGGAGATTTGTAAGATGGGAATCGGTAGCCGAAGACAGATGTCTTTCTGATAGCTACTAGGTTTATGGGAATGCCACTTTCTGTTGTTGATGGTTGTGTTAGATATTTGTTCAACGGCAAACCTAAGTATTTGTAGTCGTAGCTATCTTCCGGAAATAAACTAGGAATGTCCTGTACTGTAACATATTCCGAATCGTAGAGAGGATTCTTCGACTGATATGAATGAGTTCTTGGAACCGAATTCACTTCGTGATTAGACATTTCGACATGTTGATATATTGGATTGTATGTGTTGATTCTGGAATCCAGTGCCTCGTTTAAACTATATAAGTCGTTGATTGATGGCTCTATTGGATTCTGTAATAAAACAAACACGAATATTATTTTCACCGTGACTAATGAATACATATATTATAGCAATAWACCCACAAGTGACAAGTATAAAACTCATAAAGATTAAAATACGAGTACATCTTGTCGCACCTTGAAATTGGCGAAATTAGAATTTTTGCACAACGAACTTTAAAGTTTAACTAAAGAAGAATTGAAGTAAAAAAAAAAAACTTACGTAATGATATCCTTGAGGATATTGAAGTCCTATAGATCTTTGCCGCCTTTCCATCAACTAAAAATAGATAAAAAACAGATACAAAATTATAATAAACGAATATATTTATTGCCTATGAGGCTATGACTATTTAATTTTGTTCAAATACAATTACCTGATTAAATGTCTGTGTTCTTGGGTTATAAATAGTTGCGTCAACAATTCCGCAAACAATTAACAGACCCGAAGCAATAAAAAGATGCATTATCACAAACTAATGTTACTGTGGAAAAAAATATTAATTATTATTAAATTCACTAGAGATAATACATAGGTAAACCTAATGAATGTCTAGTCGTTTAATACATTAAAGGTTAATATATATTTTTATTTTTATTAAATACCAATGATA